CAGATAAGATTCTGGAGGTAGGAAAGTGTGTTCTATTTAGTAAGTATACGAAGGAGTAGATATATGGTAGCCGTGCGGACTAATGCGGGTCCGTACGGCAGAAAAAGTTGGGTAACGTGACCGTTTCCCCGTAACAAGAAGGCCCTGTTATCACGCAGTATATAATAAATTAATAATTATTTTAATAGCCTAACTATTCTCGGTGGCCTAGTCTTATTATTCGGTAGTATATACTGTGGGAGATCCAGTGGGAGATCAAATGGGAGATCAAGTCTTTTATCCTTCGACGAATAAAAGAATATTTCCTTAATAGGAAACCTCAGGGTATGATATGATGATTGAAGAAGAATTGTATTTTTCTTGTAGGGAATTGCGGACATATTTATATCCAATCAAGAATATTCTAGGCCTATATTAGACTTGCATTGTTTTAAGTCTAGGCCTGTCTTGCTTTGAAATCAATTATAGTCTAGGCATCATTTTTAGTCTAGACCTATTGTCAAGGCATCATTAATAGTCTAGACCTATTGTCAAGGCATCATTAATAGTCTAGACCTATTGTCAAGGCATCATTAATAGTCTAGACCTATTGTCAAGGCATCATTAATAGTCTAGACCTATGTCAAGGTATCATCAATAGTCTAGACCTATATCAAGGCATCATTAATAGTCTATCCATAGAACACCTTTTAATAGACCTATTATAATTAGGTGGCTTTTCGTATTTACCTGACCAATTATAAAGATCATAGTCTTCTTGGATGACTAAAGGTAATGCTGACAGTCCTTGATAATGCTGACAAAGGTAATGCTGACAGTCCTTGAATATGCTGACATATACGTAGTGTCTTTATAACCTTCCTATAGCCGTAAGGCCAATTTATTTATAGTCATTATCTGGTTCCGGCTTAATATATCGGAATTATCCTAAGAGACCTATTTAATATATTATCGTAATAGCGTAGCGGGCCGCGCGCGGGTAGGATATAATAGTATCGTAGTTTATAGTGTTACTAAGGTCGGTGCGAGCGACCTTATTAAGTATAATTCTTCGTAGATCACTATATAGTAGGTATTAGAGTAAGATATATCTTAGCGTTTGAGATCCTTACTCGCAATAATAGCGGTCTGATTCCCTTTCTTTAATTTTATATAAGAAGTGACCTAGTCTAATATATATCGACCTTATTTAGATAAAGATAGATATATATAGCTTCGATAGCCCCTCGTATAGCTCTAAGACCTTCCGCGTTAACGCCTTGATAAGGCACTTTGTCGGCCGGCCTATCTTCTCCCTCTCCTATTATTTCTTCTATCTCTCCTTAATACGCTTATAGGTATTACGCTTCGCCGCGGAGGCTAGGCGGACAAAGTGTTTCTCCGAACCTACACCCACATAATACTAGTGAATTACCCTACCGACGTAATATATAGCGGAGATAGGGTTCGAGAAAATAAGGCTCCTAATTACTATTTATTAAATACTATATTAAGGCGATAAAGATAGAATATAAGGAATAGTAATCGAAAAAAGGGAGATAGGCGTAGTGAGAAATATATAGGGTCGGGTTAGTCCGAAATATATAGGGTCGGGTTAGTCCGAAATATACAGGGTCGGGTTGGTCCAAAATATAGGTCTGACCTTATATATTTTCGACCAACCCGATCCTATGCATTTCGGACCATATCCCCTTTGGGAATTTCGGACCAAACGCTAACCTCTTTCGGAATTTTGGACCATCCATACCCGCTCAAGGAGAGCAACTTTGAACCCCCCCTATAAAATTCAATAAAATAGTGTAGTGGGAGAATTGGTGACATAATGAGCCTATGTGTGGCCTCAGGCATGATTTAATGTCTGCAGTGCATAGTACATCTCCAGACACACTTGGAGGGAGACAAGTCATCTACCCAATTCATTCAGGATTCACCCAATTTCTTCTATCCATGATGCAGCATTAAGATTATCCCGCACGGCCGCAACAGGGCATCAGTACGGCCTCATCCAGCATCCTCTACACCAGACAGGCAGTGTGTGTGTGTGTGTGTGTTGTCCAGTCTGCATCGCCAGACAGCCATCGAGCCGTTCCCATTTCAATAGATAAAAATATTCCGATTTAATATATAACATCTGAAGCACTTTTACTTGTAGGGAAAAATATAATATAACTTAGTTTCGCTTATATAAGCGTATCTTTTGTGCCGGTTTTTGCCTACTAGATATATCCGTAATAGTTTAGGCGTCTGGCTATATAAATACTGGGCCTATCCCGTTTAGTCTAACTATAGATTAGCCTCGTTAATATCGCCGGCCTAGATTATAGCAGGCTACTGCCGCTACTAGGCAAATATCGCTTCTATCTTATTAATAGCTTACGCGACTTAGCTAGCCTAGGGCGGTGGTACTTTAGGCTTATACGCGGTAATAGGGTTATAAGTATAGATAGAATATAACCTATATTTATTATGGAAAAATCGCTAGTAAACCACTCGCTAGGTATTTTCCTCTTATTTCTCTTATTTAATAATAGTCTTAGATAGTCGTGGCTTCCCTTAATAGCTAAATATAGAAAACTAATACTCCTTATACTAATAGGTATTGGAATATAGACCAATGCTACATAGAAAGATCTATCCTTATATTCAACATATAAGATCAGCATTGCATTAATCACGTGACCAGATTTTTTCTTCTATCAAAATGATATTTTGACCACTTCTGATTTTGGTCCGCGGTCCTCTCCCAAATAATAGGCAGGACCATTTTCCTTCAGAGGTAAATGGTCCGCCTTTAGATATGAATGGTCCGTTCCTTCGGAGGTGCCTTCGGGCATATCTTGCCCGCGGACTTCGACCATGGTCTTCGAACCTCGGTGAACAGACTTCGACCCTCAGTCCCCTCAAGGATAGGCGGACCACTTTCCCTTAGGGATAAAATGGTCCACCTTTGGGTATGCATAACCAGATACTGCGGGGAAGCTTTCGGGGTGGCTGAAACCGTCGATCCTTGACATCATTCTTTTGGCTTTTCTTCGGTTCCCTTCTTTGCCACCTTTATTATGTTGCTGTCTAGTATTTGTATGTTATTCTAGACGTCATTTCTAGGCTATTTTAGCCTATAAATATGTCCTTCTTTTCTAGCAGAAAGAATCAAGTCAGTTCTACTTTCCTGAAGTCATTTTCCACTTTCCAAAAAGTTATCTCTACCTTCTTCCTTTGATCCTCAGGACTGTGGTTCTGCCTTCGTTTAGGCTATATCTGCTTATAGTCTATCCTACGACCTTTGACCTTCTTCCTTTGTCTGGCACCGACTGACCTGGCCGGACTAAGGTTGATCCCACGGACTTAAGGGGCCACGATCTGCTTCGTGGTAGCTTTCCCCTTATGCTCCAACAATAGGTCCGTAAACTATTAATACTGCGATAAATCTGACGATACCCGGATAACTTATATAATAATCTATTAGTATATATAGTTAACCCCGGAATAGGATTAGGTACGCTTATAGGAAAAACCGTGATCTTATAATCTACACTATCCTATTTATCTATATTTTTAATAATATTAATTACTTACTATATAATACCTCGACTGATACGATAGATACCTTTAGGGGTCGTTAAATAACGTACGATATCGTTAGGCTTTACGATATACTTATATTAGCGATAAATAACTACTCCCCACTAATCGTTACGAATAAAATACTCGTCGGCAATAGTTAACTCAGTCAGTTCGCTTATCTTAAACGTAGATATATATTTCGCGATACGGAATTAATACTAAACGGATATTAGAAACCTTATCGCTAGGATTAGCTCGGATATTACTAAAATTAAAACTAGACACTAATAGTAACCCCTAAATCCTATAATTAAATTTTTAATCTCTAATCCCTGCTAGTTGCTATATAATAAATCGGGTGTGGTTATTAGCTAAAAATAGGTGATATTAGTGATGGCGCGGCCGACCGTACCCTATCAAAATAATCTATTAACTTCGAACCCCTATAACTACCTTTTTATATTATTGGATGAACGTCAAATTTGGGGAAATAAAAATCGAATGGCTAAACTAAAAGTGACGAAATTCTGTACACGATCTCTCCAGCGGATATGATCTTAATGCAATCATAATATAATTACAATGCAATTAAATGGGAAACCCTAACCCATACAAACGGCTGCTAACTAAAATGCAATGCACTGCAATTCAATTACCCCCATGGGTAGGACCATTTTTGTCCTGATGTTTATTCCAAGTCCGCCGTTGGGCTGCACTACAATCTATCAGTCCAGTCTCTTGAGGCTGCCAGCTTCTGTCAGGGGTAGTTATATTGAGACTTCGCATTGATCAGTTTCATTGCGAAAGAATCACTAACTATACTAGTTATGCAACACACCCCGTTTTCCGTCTACCATTGAAGATTGATCAAAGCATCTACACGACAAGCTTCCACCATGATGCCCTTCTCGTTGTGGAATATCTGCAAACTGTGGCGCGGCGGCAACCGCGTCTGTGACACGGGTAACAGGTGGACTCGCATGTCTGATTTTCAGTTTGTTGTATCAGTATGCTTGTTGTGATGCAGAGATGGTTTCAAGCCAAAGCAGAATCAATACACATGGTCTCACAGGAATTGATTCTCGCGATGAAGCTGGCATTGTCAGAAACTTTACAATTATTAACGATCATGTAGTTAGATATAGAAGGTAAATATAATGATAGCACAAAATTGAGCCAAGTTGAATATGGCTTTGCTTGACAGCCAATAAATATATGGAATTGGATGCAAGCCCAGCGGTGCTGCCCTATCTTTATAGTTGTACTTCCAAGTTCTGCGCCAAGCTGGACAGGAATTGTATGTCATGGTGTAACACACGGCTCCAGCAGGGCCCCAGAAGGACACCGTACAGGCTTAGGAGTGTTGTCATAAAACCAGCAGTTTATGTTTCACCTGATCAGAAGACAATGCCACATGTCGCTCTTCTGACAGAAAACTACTTATCACTAATAGCCACAAGCGCCTCCATTAACATGATACCACCAAGGCACAACGCGATGAAGACAATTGGCCTGTATCCTCTTTCTACTTGGTCATTCATTACCAAAGGCTGACTCTGGATACTGGCGAGCAAGAGCCGAGCAAACTCCTCAAGCGTCTTCTGGATCAAGTCTGGCTGCTGCTGCAGGTCTGCTGGTCAGTCACAATAGAAGATCCATGCTCTTGGAAACTACAGAGGTGAATCAAGTTCAAGCTTAATCTTGCCTCCAAACAGGTCTTGCTCTATCCCAAGCAAGGTAAGGTGCTAATAATAAAGATATGCACAGAAACACAGATTCTACTTGAGCCTAAACTAACATCACAGCAGTATTGAGGCCATCTATGTATCATGCATGATGAGACATTAGGGGATTCCATTTTATTGAAGGTAAAGTAACATCCAACAACATTCCTAGTCCTGAATATATATGTCACTGTAAGTCCTTCCTGACCCTGATGACTCAAAGAATTTGCTGTCATCTCTGTGATAATTATGTTTCCAAAGATTAATGTCCAGACCGTGTTCAAGCAGAAGCTGTACCAATGCCTCATAGCCATAGTAAACAGCACCTTGTAAAATACAGCCAAACTCTCCACTATGTGGGTTTGAATCATTGTTGGTGACATTGAGATCTGATCCATTCTCCAGAAGCAGCTTGACCACCTCGCTGTGCCCATTCCCTGCAGCTTTCGACAATGGTGTCTGACCATTGGCGTCCTTAGACTCAAGGTTAATACCCTCCATCATGAGCAGTAGTTGCAGTACATTACGCACTCCTTCATGCCCATTTGTTGTGGCTTGCAATAACAGTGTCTGCCCCTTATTGTCTTTAGAGTCTGGGTTGATGCTGTCCTGAACAAGCAGCAGCTCGACCATTCCCTTCTGCCCATTTGCTGCAGCAAGCACCAGGGGTGTCTGACCATTGTTGTCCTTAGACTCTGGGTTGATGCTGTCTTGCGCGAGTAGCAGCTTGACCACTACTTCATGCCCATTTGCCGCAGCATGTTATAATGGCGTCCATCCTTTCTTACTCTTAGAGTCTGGGTTGACTCCATCCTTTGCAAGAAGTAGCTTGACAGTGGCCTCATGACCCTTCTTAGCAGCACATGATAGTTTAAAATTACTGAATACTGTTACTGAGTCCAAGGAAAGAGGCTCACAGCTACCACTTCAGCAGATTGATCTGAGAACTCTTTTGATGGTGGGATAACTGACACTGATTCTGAACTTTGCAAGGAGTCCCAGCGCTTGATGTTCAACCCCTGTTGAATGACAATGCAACCCAAGAAGCATTTGAAAGTTGGCAGATGTGATAAACAACATGCCTAGAGATGGACATTGCGTTGGGAATGACAGCTAATCTCTTGTTTAATGTTTCTTGATAGAATTAATGTTTGTATCCATGATCTCAAGCCTCATACCTACTGTCTCTGAGTAGTCCATTGGCCTCTCAAACATACATGCCTGTGGGCCCTAGCATGATCCCAATATTAAGGAGGTTCCATTCATTGTTCGACTTCAGCAATGGCACCCGCATACCACCCTACATTCTTCCCTGTGTTCTGGTGCTTTTGTTTTGTACTTTAGGCTTCAAACCATGATCTCAACCACACACTGCATTCTCGTAAGACAAGGGAACATGTATCATTGGATGTCAATAATGCCATAAGGACCTTACAAGAGAAAGTATCTTGAAAATTCTTCCCCCTTCAAAAATTTAAGCAGCTCCAAAATAGGCAGCTCACATTCCCCCTGATATAGTCAATGGTCAATTCAGTTGTCATATATGAGCCACCTAGAATTCATACTATATAAATATTCATGCAAGACTTCCTGAGATAAAATCGATTCTAGTTCTAGCAGAGTTCCTATCTCTACTATTATTACCTTTTCTGTGTCCTTCAGGAACTATACTCTTGTTTCCTCTCACAATATACTCATACACCAAGCATCTATTTCAATAACTGCAAAATCCTCGTCCAGATATCACATCACCATCTCAAAATGGCTGGAATGAACGGTCTCTCTCTCCAATATGCTTTTACCATCCACGGCAACGTTGCTGCACCCATCTCATTCGGCAATACATACCTTGGCAACAGTGAATTTCTCCCTATCACAGGCGGCTACTTTGAAGGCCCAAAACTTTCCGGGAGAGGTTGTCCCTGGAGGTGGAGACTGGAAGGTCCTGCGTCCAGATGGAGACACACATATCTACGCCAAGTACGCCTTGAAAACGAACGACAGTGTGTACATCAACATCCTCAATGAGGGAGTCGGCCGTACGGTTCCGCTCGAAGACAAGGAACAGGAAGAAGCAGAGGAGAAGGAAAATGGACAAGTATATGATGGGAATGGGCCGCCCACGATTCGAACTACGCCGGTTTTTGAGGTGGATGTCCATAGCACGCATGCTTGGTTGAATGATTGGATTTTTGTTGCTGATGTGAAGGCAATCAATTCAACTTTGGTGGATGTTATTGTCTATGAGGTTTTTGACAGTGTGAAACACTAGAAGCTCTGATTGATGACTGATCAGGTGGGTGAGTGCCTGAGGCGTCAGCGCCCACTGCCTCTCCTTGTTAGATAGACCTTCCCTTCTGGGACTTTAGGAATATCATCATCTTCCTCCTCCAGAATAATCTTCATGACCAGGTTCCTGCCGTGGCCTTCCCTACCTTCCCCTTTGAATCCTCGCTGTCATCAATGACTCCTTTCATTTATTCACTTAATGATATTGTTTCTCCTTCACTAGTATTGCTCAGTTGTAGTGCTCTGGACAAATGGTTGATGCATGAACACACTTGTTTCTCTGCACATAAAGTCAATCATTTCAATCTACTGCCTCATTTTGTATAATTTCAATTGATAGCTAAAGTGATAGAGCTAGGAATAGACATCCAAGATGTTTCATAGCCTGCGATGAAGATATATACAGCACACATCCACAGGTACACAAAGGGAGTTAATATGACAAACGAGAGGTAAAAGTGTAAAGAGAATAAAGCCCAACAGAGAGGTTTCGAAGTAGGGAAGAGTTGTTTCTGATTACGATCCTCGACGTGGAGTATAAATCGCTCGCGAATAAAAAAAGTCCCATATAGGGCATTCTTTGCACCGTATAAAATTTGGACTTGAGTCATCAAACGCTAAAAGAGGCTATTAAAGTAAAGCGGGAAGCAGTTGGCCAAAATTCCCAGACAACATGAGGTGCTTTCATACTCTTGAACACTCTTGGGAGTTCCATGATCTTTGCCCGGGTAAGTATAATGCAAGTCACAAATAATGATGGAAACAACACATGGCAAAAGCCCATATAACTTCCACGCGACTCTACGTAGAACAAGGTACATTGAAGGTTCGGCCTTTCTCGATCACAATGATCTGGAGAATCAGACCATACCTTATTAATTCAATGAGTTGCTGATCGATCAGTCTATGTAGTTAACTAACTTTGTTACTATGTATCCTGCTCGAAAGCATATAGTTAGGAGGCTCCAAGGCTGGATCTAATACTTCGCCATAACCACGTTTTGAAGTGCCTTGGCATGCTCCCCCCATGCTTGGGGCGGTACAGCATGATAATATTGTCCATATAGAACATCATGATCACATAGTCATTGACCAAGACTTTGAAGCATTCTAGAAAGCCGAAAGCTCTTGTTGCCATAGCCTTGGGGAGCAGTGAAGGGGTGTGCATTGTAATCAGGTGTTGCCTGAGAGAGGTTCGTCGAAGACAACCTGTCCAGGTCATCGCTGTCTCCAATCTGTTCCCGTACATACGACTTCTAAGCTGTCTGTCTTGGTAGATAGATAACTTCGTCGTTGCATTCATCAGTTGAGAGGGTAAATGCATGTTGTAATTGAAGAAGTCTTAATAGTGAAATATACCAACCTGCCGTCCGACGCCAACCCGTTCTGTTCACTATGGACTGTTCATGTTCGTTGGGATGCGGAGTAAGTAGATCGCGCCCGTGTCTGTACAATACGTATCTTTCCGTAAGAAACACACAGGTTTCACTGTTACGAATTAAACATTAGTACTCGGGGAACGGTGGCTGTGCTGTTAGCTTAGTGGCTGTACAGAGCAGGGTCGCCAGGCCGAGCAAATAAAAGATACATACGTGACAATTTGATACGGTTTCAATACAAAATGAATACATACCGTGGCACCTCACAAGTGTCCGTCCCTCTGTAAGTGCCTTTCTTTACCGCCTAACTAGTTAGGACGTACCGCCCACCAACTACAATTTATGAGTGGTACAACAGGTATTTGCCAGCAGAATAATTAGCGCGGTACTTCAGAGGGACGGAGACTTGCGAGGTGCCACTGTATGAGCTGGTTTTCCTCAACCGGGCGCCCTTTCTGTCCTTTGTCTTCCTGGTCTGCATCCCTCAAACCCCCTCCCCCCCAAAAAATGGAACAGCTATCGTCACGGTGAAATTGGCCAAATTTTGGCCGTATGGAACCGAAGAGGAAGCAACTTAGGTTAAATTGGCCATCTTTGACCATTTTCAGGCTCCGTTCCGTATTCCAGCCACGATTCCTTCAGCTCAATCAATCGTAGCCAGCGCACCATGATTACTATCAGCACATACTTGATATGGCTTTTCAAATAATTGATCACTATAGGACTTTTTTGCCCGCTATTTTCTCTCGCAATCTGAAAAGCTCAACCTAAGGGGCTTGTTTTGCCGGAACAACCAATATAAGAGTTTTCAGGAGCTTTTTTTAATCTCCATTAACTGTAATTTATACATATGTGTACTCGCAAAGCCACATTAACACGGGTGAAGCTACCGATACCTACGACAATGGAAGTCTCTCCTATCATAGCTCTTTCCCAAACCACACCACGGCAAAAAGACACTGTGGAGCCAACTCGCACTAGAAGACTCAGACAGAAAGCGCAGAAGAGGAGGGAGACGCTCTTGAAAAAAGCATTTGAGTACTACACAGAATGTGATGCCGACATAAACCTAGTCATCCGAATGAGGAAAACCGGCTAGATATACACTTTAACGTCTCACTCACAAGGGTGGCCTTTGTCCGTGTCAGAGAGAGGATGACTGAAGATGGAGATGTGTGTAAGAGTGATGAATTAATGCTATAGGAGAAGTAGGCTAAGTAGGCTACAAACACCCCCCCACGACCATAGCATGGTGCATGCGTGTGGGAGATATCCGTATAAAGAATAATAATCCCTCGATCCTATTAAAGCCATTCCCGGGGGTGTGTGTGTGTGCGCCGTCAAAATGTATCTGTGTAGCTTGATTAGGGCTATATAGATAGAGGTCTGTGTAGGCAAGGGCTACCGTCGGTTAATAAGGAATAGACGCGGTATATAGTTATATATAGCGAATGTATAGCGGAATATATAATATAGGCGCGTAGTGGTCGTATCCTAATATCGTCGGTTAGTATAATTTGATAATGATTAGGCTGACCTAAGGAAGAGACTAGTAGGATTATCTAGGTCAATAGTGTTTGTCTTAGGACGCTAATCCTAGTTCTTTAGGTTAAGGAAGTATTATTCTATTATATGTTTAACCTCGCGGTCGTGAAACTTATATAAGAAAAGCTTAGCCTTTACCTTTACCTTATTTAAAGTAGGTATTAAATTAGGCGTAGGCGTATCGAAGTTGAAGAAATAGCGTGATTTAGAGATAATAAAGTCGGCGTAAGTGTTCTCGATAATATTTTTAGTAAACGCCGTAGTTATATAATTAATCTTAGACCTGGCACTCACCCGCGGGTGACCCTCCGGGACCCTCCACCTGCACCTCCTCTTGGCGGGTGGAGGGTCCGATTTCTAGACCCTAAGGGTTGGGCACCTATATGTCCGACCCTCCGAGGGTCACCCTCAGGGTCACCCTTAGGGTCCACAAATAGGATAAATAGGTAGAAAACGTGACTTGCTCGTTTATATATAAGTTATACGGATTCCGGGGGTTTTTCTGTGTATTTATTAGTAATTTTTAATACCGAGTAATTCTAGTTTTCTGATAGCTATTATTATTTAGGGGTTTTGCTACGGCGTTACCTTTTCTGATAGCCGTTATTATTTAGGGGTATTCTGCTATAGTGTTACCTTTTCTAATAGCTATTATTATTTAGGGGTATTCTGCTATAGCGTTACCTTTTCTGATAGCTATCAGAAAAGGGTATTAGGGACTGGGAGCTACGGTATAAGTAGATTCTGATAGCCGTTAGAAATAGGCTTCTTTAGCTATAGTATTGGCCTTTATAAAGTCGGAGAAAAACGTTATATAATTAGATTAGTATATAGAATAAATAATAAATTATTAAGACCTAAGTATATAGCTATTAAGTAGCTTTAAGCGCTTACGCTTCTTACTAAATATACGCTATTAGGTATTAGGTAGAGGAAGGTTAGTATTATTATTATTATCCTTATTATAATCTATAATCTCTATCCCTTTAAGATTAGCTATTATTATATAAGACTATAAAAGGGACTCCCTATCCTAAGCCTATCTATTATCCTCCTTAGTATTATTAATTAGATTAAAGGATTCGTCTTAGGTTTTATTAGCCTTAGTTATCGCTACGATCTCTTAATATAAGAGATATTCTTATAGGATAAGCCGCTTCTACTTAAAAAGGTTAAATCTTATTATATATATCTAGAGTATAATATTACGAATTATCTTTAGCTTTAATAAGCCTCGTCGATAATTATAGATATCTTAGGCAGAGTTAAAGAGGCGTTCTACCCCTACTCTAGTTACTAGAATTAATATTATATCCCGCGTAAGGCTTATAAGTACAGGAAACTTATATTTATACTCTTTTTAGAATATCCGAGGGGAGCCTCGTATAGTTACTAAAATAAGGATTTAGTATAATTTAGTAAAAAAGAAAGAAGAATATACGACTTTTAAGATATCTTATAAGCTTATCGTATTACGGAGGTAATAATTATTATAAGTCTTTAAATATTAAATCCATATCTATTATTATTATTATCAATAACTAGCTATCTAATTATAGCCTATCTCGCGAAAAGACACTTATTATATAACCTAAAGAAAGACTTAAGACTCTTATAGTAAATTCTTTTTTAATCCTTTTCTAGGTTATCTGACTCTTAGTCCTTTATTAAAAAGAACTATAGCTTATTCGCGGGAGCTAAGATTATACTAATAATATAAAGGTCGCCTTTTACACTATCTATTATATTATAGTATTTTAATAGTTTCTCTTACGCCGCTTCTAGTAAGAAAAATATAAGCTACTTTTACGTAACCTTCTTTTACCGGAGTTAATAAATAGACTTTTTAAGATAATTAAAAAGCTTATTATAAAAACTAAAGACTAAGTAAATACTTAAGTCTTTCGTTATATAAACGACTATTATATATTTATTAAAGGGCTATAGGATAAATAGGAGGTAGTCAATTTATCGCCACTCTTCTGCGCTAAATATAAAATAAGGTTAGTCGTACTACGAGCAAAAGGTATCGAAAGTAGCTTAGAGTCTCTTAGCCCAG